ACAAAACCCGTGATTTTCCGGAACTAAAAAACCGGATTTTTTCCTGATTTTTGTTTTTTATTTTTTTTTACAGGGTTGATATATAGTGAATTTATTAATAAACTCTCGATATAGTGAATTCTTGAAAATATTTTACAAACTAGACACTACATATATAAAATTCTCTATTTTGACAAAGTTACAACTCTACAATCCGGCTAAAATGATTTTTGTAACATGTTGTAATCCTTTAAACCCTTTCACCTTTTATAGTCTCTGAAATTTTCCAACTGAAAAATTACGTAAATTATTGAATTATAACTACATAGTAAGCCTCTTTAAGTCGACTAACTCGGCATTGGACTCTAATTTCTACTTAGTAAGTTTTTTAATTTAAAGATGATTTTTCTAAATAAACCTAGATTTTTGTACAGCTAAATTTGATCGATATAAAGAGGTTTCGTCTTAGAGATGATTTGACTTAGAGAGATCTACCGCTACGTACTATCGCTATGTATTTAAAAATTAGATACATGTACATGACTGAGATTCACTATTCCAACACTTTTGACAGGTAAATAGAACAAATGTAACAAAATTACTACAACTAATGAGTTTCTATCGCCTACTTTCCTACAATAACAATTTCAATTCTTGACGCATCTGCACCTACGCCCACAACAGCACAAGCTCCAAATAATATTCTTCCTAATAAAGTAACTTCTACATCAATTCATTAGAGATTTTGTGCATAACTATAAGATATCTATATACATCATGTATAGATTAAAATTTTGTATCATCAACGAACTGGTTTCATTCGACAACGTACCTTTACAAGTTTACGTAATCAATCTGCAAAAATTTTATATCATCAACAAACTCTTTTCTTTCTTAGCATCCAACAAATACTCATATAAATTACATGTACTCAACAATATGCACAGCAAGTAAAAATAGAAGCATCTCAAATAAAACTATACAAATACAAACAGCTGACGAGAGTAATTAACTACGTGTACTTCACAAGAAACCACTTTGGCACATTCAAAACAATATCTATTGCAACCGATACTATCAACATACCTTGCCTCTAATTAAGATGCTGTATCAAGTACAAAATCATTTTTAAAAGACATTTAAGTATAATAATGACTTTCATCTTCTATTTTGTCTAAATCTGAGTTTTGTTTAAGAAAAAACTTTTATTTCTTTGAATATTCATTCTGTATAATGGATGGTGTTGCAAAATTAAAACTAGAAAGCTGATCATTTTTCTTTAGCTCCTAATAAATAAGTTCCTATTTATTATAAAGAAAACAGTTAATTTATCTTATTCAAATCGAAATTTTTGAATTGACATGTTAAACGATTGTGTGTATAGTCAATTTAAAGTCAAGGAATCTTCTAAATAAAAAATTTTCTATTAAACAATATAAATGATACAAGACTGGACCAATATGCAAAAAAGTCTTTTAACTACGTACATGTTAAAGTTAAGAAAATAGAAAATCAAGTTACACCAAAACTATCTTGGAAACACCCATTCTTCGATTAAGCTACTGTTGCATCCCTGTAAAAAAAAATAAAAAACAAAAATCAGGAAAAAATCCGGTTTTTTAGTTCCGGAAAATCACGGGTTTTGTT